ATAATTAATATGCTCTAAAATATCTCTGTCAGACACAAAACCTAATGCTCTGAACACAATAATAATGGGAACTTCTTGCTTGATATATGGTAGAGTTGCCACAATGCGCTGACCAATAGCACTCTTTTTTGCACCCTAGAAAAAATAACATTAGAGAATGAGTCTACAGAGATCACAGCCATAGAAAAGTATCAGTGAGAACCATTTTACATATATACTCATCACTGTACGTATTTCAAAAGAAGCATGCTTCTTATACCATGAGGAATGGCTGCTTTTCAAAGACACTGGAACAGATTTACTAATTTTATGGACAGGCTGGTCATTTAGACCTGAAAAAACTTCCATTCTCTGCTATCTGCCTGCCAAGATTTCCTCAGAATTACCCAATACTGTATCCGGAAATGACTTTTGGCTGCAAAAGAACATGAACATTGACCCCTCAGCCTCTCCATCCACCAAGAAAACAAAAACAAAACATATCTGGAAGAAACAGAGAAGGGTTCAAAAAGAGAGAATATGAAAAAAAAAGAGAGGGAGAGAGAGAGAATATGGACAGACAAATTTTGAAAAAGCTAAGCACAGAATGAAAAATAAGTATTAGCTCAGAGCTGGTCTGTGTGGTATCTTCTGTTTGAATTAATAAACAGCCTCTTTCACAAGCTTTATTTTTTCCAATTTCTTTCTCATTTTAATTGCACACACATACAGTAATGAGATAAAAGTTACTAGCCTACACTGGGATACAACCATGTGGCTTCTCAATTTTAATCATATTTCTTTCCTTCAGTATCAAATTCCAGTCCTCCCTTGGCCTCAAAACCCTATATTATCATATCCCTCTAATGACAGTTTCTGTTGTCTTCCTCCGACTTCAGGCCTCCTTCCTTAGAAACCTTATCCCATCTCATGGGTGTCCAGTAACAATTTTTCATAAATGATACCCAAATCTTCATCTTGATCTTTTCCCTGTACCCTCAATCCTCATATATACAACTGCCATTTGGCTATTTCTATCAATTATCTCCATTTAGCCCATTATTTGTTTCATCATAGACTTTTTTTTTCAAAATAAGCAAAACATTAAGAAATAATGCCTAGCCGAAACCGGTTTGGCTCAGTGGATAGAGCGTCGGCCTGCGGACTGAAGGGTCCCAGGTTCGATTCCGGTTAGGGGCATGTACCTGGGTTGCGGGCACATCCCCAGTGGGAGATGTGCAGGAGGCAGCTGGTCGATGTTTCTCTCTCATCGAAATTTCTAACTCTCTATCTCTCTCCCTTCCTCTCTGTAAAAAATCAATAAAATATATTTTAAAAAAAAAAAAGAAAGAAATAATGCCTACATCATGCACCTCAACCCCCAAAAATATTTTGTCTAAAAATGAACTCAATAGGGTCTCTATAAAATCAATTCTTGAAAGCTATTCTATCCAGAACCTCAGGATAGAAATCACAGAATCTTAAGTAATCCATCCTCATTAACTATAGCAAACCTGTCACTAAATCCAGGTGATTTTCCTTTCTCTGCCTCTAATTAATTCATTGTGCCCATAGCTAATAAGATAACCTCCCTAATATGTTGAATTTATCTTTGCCCTCCATAACCAAGGCCAATGCTTCTCAAAAATAAATGCACATCACAACCACCTGGGGATCCTTTTGGGGGGGCCCCATTCCACCACCAGTTAATCAAAACCTTTTCAATTAACACATTCTATTTAACTTCAGGCAGTTAAAACTCTCTAATCTTCAAGTTTTTAATCTTTGTAAGACTTATAAAAAGTGAAATTAGACTCTGCAAAACTATTTGTAAGAGCACAGGACTGGACACCTAAATATCTACCATAAGATAGTTTAAAAATTATGCTACACCTGCATATGGAATATCACAGCTCAAAAAGAATGATCAAGCACTGATCTAAACATGTTTTTTCCAAGGATAACAGCAAAGTGTATGTGGTATGCTCCCACTTGTGTTTTTTGCATTAAGGCTGTTGCTGAACTGATTCATAAAGTTATCAAAAGCAGCTACCTCTGAGGAAGAGATCTGGGAGGTCAAAGACTACTTTTTATAGTATATCCTTTCTTGTGCTTCTTGAACTATTTGAACATGCATGTATGACTTATTCAAAGAAACTTTAATAAAAAATGCTCATTGCATATTAGCATAACCAATGGACACAGACACTGGGGCGGTGGGGGCTTACCC